AAAAAAGCATGTGTTTTAATATTTCTCATCATTGGATCTTGACCATACTCTAACAAATGAAAATAACAGTACGCGGCATGATGTACTATCGTAAAGCTTTGGAACTTCAAGCATTCCTTGATACCGCAGAGCATCAAGGTATTTACAAAAAGCTTGTTTAGTAGATTTCTTATCTGTATATACCAGTCCATTACCACATGTACATACATGAAAGTCTTTAAATTTTTATTCAGAAAAATAGGGTCTTAAATGTTTTTTTTTTTTAAGTTCAATAATGTGGGGACATAGATTTAAACCTCTAAAAATATATTATATTGTATTTAACTGATTGTTAATTACTAATAAGTAATATTATCTTAGAAAAATAAGTACACTTTAAATTCACAAAATTTTAATATATTGGATGATGTAGTATAACTTTCTTATTTTAATTATTAAACATACAATTAAATGTAATATTTTAATGAACATAATCTATCAAATCTATGATTCAAGATTTAATAAGCTTTTAATGATTTTTATCCACGAGTATGTAAAACCTACAGGTAATTCGTGAATACATTTCTTGATTAGTCAAGAGAAGTTTAATTCAAAAAATAGAGGCAAAATGTGTACTAAAAATATATCCTCATATTGTACCATTTAGAAATATAAGAAAAGTTTTATAAGTTCAATGCTTTTACCCAGAATTATTGAAAGGCTACAAGAACGCTGTGGATAGCCCTTTGTGGGCACAATGTCAAGCAGCAGTTGACATGAAATTCTCATATGTTGTCTCCTGCCAGCAATACGGTATTCACAAACGTTCTGGTGATGCCCGTGCCAAAGACATTCTGAAGCTTATGACTAAGTATGTTTCTAACAATAATTTGACTTGCTTGCTGCTATGAACCTATATTCATTATGATTATTCATTGTGGTAGGTACCCATCACTTCGTGTTGCATATATTGAAGAACTTGAAGAACCAAGTAAAGATAAATCACAGAAGACTAATCTGAAGTCTTACTATTCAGTTCTAGCAAGGGCAGCTTTACCAACAAAATCAATAGATTCCATTGAGCCAGCTCAGAGTTTAGACCAGGTAAAAATTCTGACTATTGTTGAAGGCAGATTGACCATTCAGCAAATACAAGGCCAATTATTGAATAGAACTTGAGATTCCTTTGATTCAGCCTCTCATACTAGGCAGAAATTCATAAATATTCTTTTCAGCCTTGTGAAAGGAGTCAAAGGACAGAATTTTTTTTTCGTAGTTGCATTTATTGCCTTTTTACCAATGATCAGAGTATCTTTATTGCAGCTGTCTAAAAGTCGCTTCAATTATTAGGACTCATTGTCTAATTCATTTGGATAAATAAAAATATAAATTGATGTTTATATGTTGGGCTTGGTTATTAGAGAGGCAATTAACCTACAAGGAGACAATATTTTTATGTTTGATGTCCTGAATGGATCCCTTAAAAAGGGGTTGAATACTAATTTCTTAAGGGGTTTTGGGGATCAGTCAAAATGGAGCGTGCCTTAGTTTTGCTAATAATACCATCGTCTTTGGAAACTATATGATATACAGCTGGATAATCTCAAATCTGTTTAGCATTTGAAAATTTTTGATAAGGCAGCAGGCATGAAAACTAATTCAAGAAAACTCTTGTTGCTGGCATCACAGCTTGAAGTATTGATGCAAGCCAACAGGTCAGGGTGTTAACATGGTGACTTGCATATTTAGGTATGCATTAGAGAGTAAAACCTTCAAAATTTGACTTTCAGAACCCGACGATTAAAAGAATTCTATAAGTCTGGACAAAGAAGAATGTTGCTTTTCCTGAATGTGGAAGCATCACCATTGTGAAATCCGGGCTCTCACATATGCCCATTCATTTCATGTCCCTTTTCAAAATTTCAGCCAAAGTAGCTAAACTCAGAGAAAAAGATGAGGAACTTTGGGCTCAGGTGTTTGATAATTTCAACCATCTTGTAAATTGGAGAAAAGTTTCTGACCCCAGTATGGGGTGGTTTAGGACTGTGCCATCTAATGGAGAAAAATGTAGCTCTACCTTATGGGTTCGAGGTTCCATCTCGAGGCAGAACCTCTTTGGCATTCCACCCTGGCAGGTAAGTAGGAAGTGGGCGAATGCTATTGGCCTAATGCTTACTGTGATGGTTCTAAATTTCCCTCGTCCAAATCAGCATATTTATCAGAATATATTGAGAGCTTGGTAAATCAAAGAGACCTTCACGTGCAATTCTTTTGTTTTCTTTTTGCATTTTTTTACTTTTTTTTTTTAATACAACAATATGTGGAGGCGGGGATGCACTCCATATGTTTGGTGTAAATCTTTTTTCCGTGCAACTTGCATCATTATAGACAATCCTAGGTTGAGTTGTAAGAGAGGAAAGGGAAGTAAACTAGATTCTTTTGTTTGGAATTTTACTGTGAAAAGTTTTAATATTGCCGATGGTACATAGAGGCATCTGTAATTTATTCCATATAGGATAAAATTTCTGAAACAGATTGCTCAGTGAGTTTGATATATCCTAGTGCTTCCAGAATTCTACAATGCATTGTGTGGTTAGTCTCATTTGTGGGATAAGGTCGCAAAAGGCCTCGTTTAGGAGGTGTGGTTACAGAGATATCTCATAACTTTTAGGAATAAGCACAGAAAGGAGTATGGGATATGAGAATTTATAAAATTCAAGGTTTTCCTTTGCAGTTCATACCCTAATCCTTTTTGTTATTATGATTATTTATTAATCAACACCAATTAAAGTAATTTTTTGTAACCTCGTGGCTTTCTTTTGGGTAGATAACTTGTTTCTCTTTGTTTTGTACTCTGCTTCATAATAAAATTTTAGTTTCTTATTAAAAAAAAAAAAGTCGTACATGTGCAATTTATCTGCTGCCCGTAGATTATCTTTCGTGTATTTGCAATTAAATCATATTTTCACAAGCATGCTTTCCTCTATAGTTATCATCATACCTTCCCACACACTGCTTATTCAAGTGTTTAATTCCTCTTAATATAGACCATATATCGGGTAAAACTTCCTGGGCCAGCAATATTGGGTGAGGGAAAGCCAGAAAATCAAAACCATGCAATTATTTTCACCCGTGGGGAATGCTTGCAAACAATTGACATGAACCAGGTACCACATATCCCGATACAATGTGTAAGAAACTAAGAAACTAGTTTGTTTGTTGATAATCAGAATGTGAACTATCTATCAATAGGATAATTACATGGAAGAGGCCTTCAAAATGAGAAACTTGCTGGAAGAGTTTCTTACAATGCATGATGGTGTAAGATATCCTACGATTCTTGGACTTAGAGAGCATATATTCACTGGCAGGTACCTATCAGTTATGTTTGCTGAAAAATTAATTTCTAGCTTACTTCTTTCTGAATAATGTAATTTCATCACTGCAAGTAAGTTCTTCACTACTTTGTTTGATCAATTTTGCAGTGTTTCATCTCTTGCTTGGTTTATGTCAAATCAAGAAAACAGTTTTGTAACCATCGGGCAGAGATTGTTGGCAAACCCTTTGAAGTAAGGTTCCCAACATTGTTTTCTCATAAGTTTGTTTTGCTACTTATTAATATTGTAGGCAATAAGTATCGTGGTTACGTGATGTAAATACCCTCTCTATTTTTTGATTATTTTTACCAGAGCACTAGCCACTGGGGCTTTTTTCAGGGCATCTAGGATTTTTCTTCATAGTGAGATTTATATTTTTGAGTTTGAATGACCTCTTTCGGATGGAAACAAGCCGTTGCCGCCCATATTAAAAGGAGAAGCACCTTAAATCTAGATGATCTCAATCATCTAACCACAATCACCAGGAGACCTACGTGTGAGGCTGACATGTGCCACGACATTCTACTTTCTGCCACACAAGCGTGTGATGCCATGTACATGGCTGCACTTTTCTCTGAATACCATGGTTCAATTTTCCTGCTAGTATTTATTTTGTGGTCGTGTGCCTCTGTTCGAGACTAGTTTTCTGCATCCATGTCAGATTTTGTGCGTTTCATGTAAAGTTTTGATAGAACAATACTTCCTTGATGACTTTCTTGTTGCTCACCACTACCGATTTGATAGTTATTTATTTTTTTGGAAAAGAAAAAAAGGAAAAATTCTCCTCTCCCTTCTACATTCCTCTCTAATAAAAAAACTTAATGATGAACAGCAGGTAGGTCAGTCAGCATTATCTATTTTATCCTGGCTGAAAAGAGGCCATCATGATGTTTAACCTGGTTTGGATGATGTCAGAAATCATGTAATTTAAATTGAATTGCCCTAAATATTGTGATTGCTGTTAGAGAATTAGATTTTATTCAATGTGGTGGAAAGAAGCCGTCATGGTGATCATGAGCCGAATGACTAAGAATGAGCTAGTACTGAATTACATATGCTGTTCGGAAAAACATAAGAAGGATTTATTGTTGTACCATTTGTGATAATAAGAACATACTATTAATGTCTGAACTTCATTTTATTATTTTTCTTTCGTTCTAAATTATAATAGTAAGAATCACATATTTTGGGTGTCTAAATGCTCATTCTTAATTGTCTCAATTTAATGAATCTGTACCTTTGGCTTCTTTTCAGAGTTCGATTCCATTATGGCCATCCAGATGTTTTTGATAGACTGTTTCACCTTACTAGAGGGGGTGTTAGTAAAGCTTCCAAAGTCATCAACCTGAGCGAGGACATATTTGCAGGCATGTTGATAGTCATAAAAGCCTTTAGTTTTATATTCAAGCGAGTAATCTGATTTAATCATGTACTCCATTCCTATGGATGTGATTTTAAATTGCAGGTTTCAACTCCACCTTACGTGAAGGTAATGTTACTCACCATGAATATATACAAGTCGGTAAAGGAAGGGATGTTGGCCTTAACCAGATCTCCATGTTTGAGGCTAAGATAGCCAATGGTAATGGTGAACAGACGTTAAGCCGTGACATATACAGGCTCGGTCACCGGTTTGATTTCTTTCGCATGCTGTCCTGTTATTTCACAACCGTTGGTTTCTATTTCAGTACTATGGTACGTTTGAGAAGTCTGTCTTTTACTTTTTCACATCTTTATTCATTTTTCTTTACTTATGAGACGGATTAATTTTTCATTTTGACAGCTAACAGTGCTCACAGTCTATATCTTTCTCTACGGCCGCCTTTACCTTGTTCTCAGTGGCCTTGAAAAAGCTTTGAGTACTCATCCTGCCATCAAAGACAATAAGTCCCTTCAAACAGCTCTTATTTCTCAGTCCGCTGTGCAGATTGGACTTCTTATGGCATTGCCTATGGTGGTTGAAATTGGATTGGAAAGGGGCTTTCGGGCTGCTTTAAGTGATTTCATACTAATGCAGTTGCAGCTTGCCCCTGTGTTTTTCACATTCTCCTTGGGAACCAAGACTCATTACTATGGAAGGACATTGCTTCACGGGGGTGCACAGTACAGAGGTACCGGTCGTCGCTTTGTGGTGTTCCACGCCAAATTTGCTGACAACTACAGGCTGTATTCTCGTAGTCATTTTGTCAAAGGAATTGAATTGATGATTCTTCTTCTCGTTTACCATATACTCGGTGTTTCATATAGAGGTGCGGTCGTCCATATCTTGATCACCGTATCGATATGGTTTATGATAGGAACGTGGCTCTTTGCACCTTTCCTCTTCAATCCATCAGGGTTTGAGTGGCAAAAGATAGTTGATGACTGGACAGATTGGAAGAAGTGGATAGTTAACCGTGGAGGAATCGGAGTAGCTCCTGATAAAAGTTGGGAGTCTTGGTGGGAAAAGGAACAAGAGCATCTACATCACTCAGGAAAGCGTGGAATCTTCACTGAGATACTACTGTCATTACGATTTTTCATTTTCCAGTATGGACTAGTATATCACTTGGAAATAATCAACTCCCAAAGTTTTCTGGTACGAAATATTGTTCCAGCATTTTTACCAATTCCTTGGTTTTAGGATGCTTTACCAAGCATATAAGCATATTTATTATACTTAATTATCACTTAAAATTGCAGGTTTATGGCCTTTCCTGGGTTGTGATCATTTCAATATTGCTCCTGATGAAGGTAAGAAAAGATTTCTTCTGGACCAATAAACTTGTTTTTAGGAATCCTATTTGGATGTATCTGGGTTTTTTATTTTTATGAGAAATCAACCTTTCATTAAGAAACCTAAAAGAATAACTATTTGAACAACTACTCTATTTTTTTCCCA